TAATGCTTTTGTCATACATGAACATACATAAATATATATTTATTTTCATATTCTTTTTCAACATACTTATTACAAGATATTGATTATAGTTCCCTGTGCTATACAGTATAAACTTGTTTATGTATTTTATATATATTAGTTAGTATCTGCAAATCTTGAACTCCCAATTTATCCCTTCACACCACCTTCCCTCCTTGGTAACCATAAGTTTGTTTTCTCTGTATGTGAGTCTGTTTCTGTTTTATACGTAAGTTTGTTTGTCTTTTTTTTAGATTTCACATATAAGTGATATCATATGGTATTTTTCTTTCTGTTTCTGGCGTACATAACTTAGAAATAACAATCTCCAGGTCTATCCATGTTGCTGCAAATATCTCCATGTTCCTATTTACCTTTTTATTTTTCATTAGAATTGTTCATTTCCTTCCAAGGTTATCTCAACTTTCTTTTCAGTGAACTCTTCCCTATAATTTAATGTGACTTATAATTCTTGTGTACTTATTCTCCATACATTAGTTACTTATAGTATATTGCTATGTGTTTAGTTGTGCTTTTAGTGTTTGTATCGCCATTCCAACAAGATTTTTAACGTCTCTAATGTAAGGAGTATGTATTATAAGGTAGTGTGGAGTAGTGAAAAGAGCTTCAGTTGGTAGACTTAGGTGTTATAGTCCTCACTTTGCTAGTAGCTACTTGAGGGTGAAATGTGGGGGACTGATATATGCATCAACTTCATCTCCTATCAAAACCTCATGGAATGACGTAAAATATGTTAAAAGAAGAATAAGGTCATAACAGTACTACAAAGGAAAAATAAGTACCATCATCAGTAGGTCAGAAATTCTTAAAAGAATACAACCAGAGAGCAAACCAAAGAGACAAACCAGAACCTGTAGCCTTAAACTCAGGGAACAGAGGACTGTTGCTGTGTGAGGTAGGGGCAGTTTGTCTTCCTCTCTGGAATTGGGGACTAACTGAGCAAACATAGAAGTCAAGCCAACAAAAGTCAAAATGTCAGTTTCATAACTGATAAAAGCTTAAATGAAGATAACCTAGGTGTGAAAATACAGGTTTGCTGTATGACTTTTATTCCCAAATGCTTTAGATCCCCAAACTGCAGGTCTGTCTTGTAGAGAAAGCAGAAAAGAATGTACCCTTTTTGCAGGCAAGGCTTATACCATAGTGAGAAGAAGCTGAATCTCACATACACATATAGTTTCTTTTTCTAAACTCATCAATCAGATAGGTCATAGCTTCTTTCCTGTGAGAAAATGAGACCAGGGGCCAAGAGCGCCCAGGAGAACTACTCCTCAAAAACAGAATTCTTCCCAACAGGATGCTGAGATTAGAGTGGATCCCTGAGGCAGTAGGGTAAATAATCTAGGCACTTCTTTTTGAGACCCTCCCCTGTGCTCCTACCAAGCACAACCTCTTCTCCTCCCACAGTCATTAGACATCAACTATGGTAAATAGAAACAACGTCTGTAGTCAAGAAAATGGGATAAACACACATCCAAGAATTCTCAATCATTTGATAAAAGCACTACCAGGCAGCATTCTTGATTGTAAGCAAGAAACCACTCTCTAGTTAATTGAGTAGAAAAGGAGCTTTTAAAAAAGATTATTGGAATGGCATAGAATTGAGAATCTAGAAATATACTCTTGTATCTGTAGTTAACTGTTTTCTTTTACCATGGTGCCAAGACAGTTCAATGTGGAAAAGAGTAGTAGCCTTTTTCATAAATCGTGCCAAAACTGCTGGATACCCGCATGAATGAAGCTGGACCTCTTCCTTATATCTTCCACAGAAATTTACTCTGAATGTATCAGAGATCTTAATGTAAGAGGAAAAACTATAAAACTCTGTGAAAAGAAAATACAGAAGTGAATCTTCATGACCTTGAGTTAGGCATAGCCTTCTCAGATACCACAGCAAAAGCAAAAATGACAAAAGAAAAGGATAAATTTATTTTTGAACTTCAACAAAACTTACAACTTTTGTGCATCAAAAGATACTATCAAAAAGTAGAAAGTGATAAGGTACTGGAGTCCAGACTATATAAAGAACTCTTACAAGTCAGTGCTGGAAAAGATGAATAATCCAATTGTAAAATGGGCAAGGGATTTGAACAGATATTTCTCCAAAGAAGACATACAAATGGCCAATAAGCACATGAAAAGATGCTTGGCATCAGTAGCTACTAGAGAAATGTAAATCGAAACCACAATGAAATACCACTTCACACTCACTAGGATGATTAATCAAAAAGACAAGATAATAACAAGTGGAGTGGTGGGGGGATGTGGAGAATTGGAATCTTCCTACATAGTTGGAATTGTAAAATGGTGTAGGTGCTTTGAAAATAGTTGGGCAGTAACTCTGACAATTAAAGAGTTATTTATGACCCAGCAGTTCTACTCAATACAAATAAACATAGGTCCATGCAAAATCATATACAAATGTTGACAGCAACAATATTCGTAATAGCCAAAAAGTGGAAACAACATGAATGTCATCATGCTATGAATGAACAAAGGAAATGTGATATATCCCATACAAGGGGATATTACTTAGCAATACAAAGAATGAAATATGGATACATGTTACAATGTGGACACTTCAAAAACATGCTACATGAAAGAAGCCAGTCATGAAAGACCACATGTTATATGATTCTATTATGTGAAATGTCCGGAATAATCCACAGAGACAGAAAGTAAATTAGTGGTTGCCTAGGGTTGGGGGTGAGGTTGGGGTGGGTTTTGAAAGGAATGGGAAAGACTGCTGATAGGAACAGTGGGCTTTGAGGGTGTTGAAAATGTTCTAAAAGTGATTATGATAATGGTTGTACCATCCGTGAGCATACTGAAAACCTTTGGATTTTACACTTTAAATGGATGAATAGAGCTGGTGAATTATTTTCCAATAAAGCTGTTAAAAAAATAAGATTGTAGTTTTTCAAAACAAATAAATATAAAACAAATATGTTGTACATCTGAAATTGATAGAGTATTGTTAAGTCAATTATACTTCCATTAAAAATAAATAAAAAACAAAAGTATAATTTTAGAATCATGGGAGATCTGGGGAACCATTCTCAAGGCTTGCCTTCCAGGTTCCACACCTCCAAACCACAGTACAGTGTAATCTGGTGTGATGGGTAAGACTGCTGCCTACCACTGGACAGTTGATTAAGTTTTACTGTCGTTATTGATCCATAAATTGAACTTTACTGCAACTGCTGCAGCCAACACTGTTTCAGCCTTAATTATGTACTGCTGCTGCCTTCAGAAGGAGTAAAGGTTCACTACTCTTTCTTTCCTTCTTTTGTCAGTAGTATCTGAAGGAAACCTAGGATATGTGTAGTTTGGCAATATCTAGGTCACATACGTGGAAAGGAATCTGGAAAAATTAGTATTGTTTTCCAGTATTTCTTGAAGGAAGCAAATTTTACTCTCCGCAAAGCTCATAAGAAGTATTGAAAGTCTCCAGGTATAGAAAGGGATTCTGATAATGCATAGCCAAAATAAATAACAAAATGTCAATTTCAAAAAAAAAAATGAATACAGTGAGAGAGAAGAAATAAATGAATAATACAGTTAATACTAAAGAAAAGCTGAGACTTTTAAAGAAATATATTTAATATCCTCAGACAAATGATAGGATTTTGAACTCAAAACAATAACAAGCTTTTATGGGAAATAATCAGTTAGAAATCCTTGAAAATTAAAAGCCCAATCTTTGAAGTAAAAAAATAATGGCTCACCTAAAATCTGCCAGCTTTACCTTCAAGAGATATTCAGTTAGATCTGAACCATGCAGTATGTAGCCTTCTCAGATTGGCTTCTTTAACTTAATAACTTGCATTTGAAGTTTCTCCATGCCTTTTCAAGACTTAATAGCTAATTTCTTTTTAGAGCTGAATAATATTACATTGTCTGAATGTACCACAGTTTATTTCACCTACTAGGACATTTTGGTTGCTTCCATATTTTGGCAGTTTTGAATAAAACTGCTATAAACATTCATATGCAGGTTTTTGTGTGAACATAAAAGTTTTCAGCTCCTTTGGATAAATACCAAGGAGTGTGATTGCTGGTACTACTGATTAAAAGTATGTTTAGTTTTGTACCAAGTGGCTGATCATTTTGCATTCTCACCAGCAATGCATGAGAATTCTTGTTGCTCTACATACA